TTTTCATGCAGGACTCACACTCCTACGCATGCATAAGTGTGTGTGTCATGTGGTTGAGTTGAGGGTGAATCTGTCAGTCAGAAAATGCCAAGTACAGTTCTGCTGCTCTTGATTTACACAAGGATAACAACCCCGTATTATTCGTGCCCCAATAACAAACAGACTGGGGATCCCACACCAACCAAAAGTGACCATATGGGCATGCAATCCCATCATACTGAGCACCTAAGCAGGGTGGGTGTACTGAATATCAAACAATATCAGCTCCTGAAGTCATCACTAGATATGAAGGGAGAACTCATTCAGACTCTGTGTACATTATAAAGAAGAGGAGGATGGGACAGAGAGGTTGTTGCTCAGGAATGTAGGCAATCAGAGTGAAGTGGGGGAATGAGAAGCTATAACAGGGAATAGTAAGGGCTTTTTGGTTTTGTTTTGGGGTTTGTTTGTTTTTTTAAAGATTTTAAGCAGCAGGAAGCTTGAATGAACTTGATGAGGATTTGAGACTTTTTTGAGAATTATTTTATTTATTGTAATGAAGTCCAGACCAGAGGTAGAATTCCTGATAACGTATATTAACTGAATGAATCCCTGGTTGTTCAGAAGATATCGTATTTTAAAGTAAACACTGGTCTTCGACACCAGACAGAAATGTAGACTAAGAGATTTTCAACATCCAAACTATCCTGGCCAAGACAAATCCTGCTTTAATTTGATCTTGTTCTGACCTGTTGAGACTCGACTATATTGTACTTAAAGTAACTCAGTAATGAGCAATCCCTGCTAAGAAAACTAGGACTCAGCCCTTTGTCCCAGCCATACTGAAGAAATACCAGGTTGGAACAATTTCACTCTAGCTTCAAAATACTCTAGTCCATATAGTAAAGATGCAAGTTAGATGTCTTGTATGCATGTATTGCAGTGGCTGTCACTCATTCTGAAGATCCTTTACTAAGGCCAAGATTTTAAAAAAATGTTATGCCAAATTACTTATGGTAAAATTATATAACAGACATATACCATTTATAGAACAAAAAGACAATACCCAATGGAGAACTTTGCTCTCCATCACAATAACTGATACATCTGGGATCCATTAGGCACAATTCTAAGCAACTTGTAGATCTGAGACACCACCTCACAAATATTCTATCACTAACATGCCTCTGAAAGTTTAAATATCATCCATTTGCCTAGCTCCTTGTTAGTTTCAGCACTGTAGGACCTTTAATCTCTGTAGTAAATCACAGAAAATAGATTTGCTAGACACCTGGAACTGTAGTCCTAAGAGGCTTTCTAGACTAAAGTAGCATCTTGAATTGCACCCAGAATCAAATAGGGAACTAGTGTTGAAGTGCTGGAGCAATATGTTCTCATTGATAAATGGCATGTAGTAGCTACACTCTGAACCAGCTGTAGAATCTTCAAGAAATCCACCAGGTAGAACACATTGCATCAATCCAATCTAAAAATAACAGCATGAATTACTGTTATGAAACTCAAACATAAAGGTTCTCTTTGCCGCTGACTCAGAATAAGCACAGCTGCATGTCTTGAGTGCAGACATTGCTAGGTAGCAGTGCTAGGACAGGTGTGATGAATTAGATATTTCTGCCAGTAAAAAGGAGGTTTCTCCTCTCTTCCTCCAAGTTATAATCCTAATTTACTGTCATTAGGAATTAGTACTGATAGTAGGTGAGTGTATCCTTCTTCCTTCCATTATTGATTCTCATGTTGTTGTATGAAATGTTGTTGTTAAAACCATTTAAAAACCAGGTTGAACGAAGCTTTTAAAAACAAACAAAAACTCAATATAAAAAATCTCTGACTTTGATCAGGGTTGATTGCTGGTTTTGCTATACCTCTAAAAAGCTCAGATGCACCAATCAGATTTGAGGCCCCTGCAGTATTAGTCCCAAACCTCACTATGGCTTGTTAGAGATGTGGATCCAGGCTCTTGGATAATGGCCAAATCAATCCAGAACTTAAGAGTCAATGTAATAGGATCTATGAGAACTCCTCCTTCCTAAAAGCTATTCTGGTTGTTCTCTTTCAGTCAGAGATCTCCCTGTCTTCTGCACTTATTTGATTGAATTCAACTATCACAGGAAAGCTTCAAATGTAATAAGCTTGCCAAATGCAAGAAAGGTTGTTCTCTGGTTACTATTACTGGGGAACATACAAACTGCGCTGCTAAGAGGCCAGAACCCAAAAGGCGGTCTTATATTCCTATGGGATGTACACACTATGGTTTGCTCTTCAGAGATTCTAAAATCATAGTTAAAAGAGTGTGGGGAAAACTACCTTGTCTTGAAAATTGTGCTTCCAGCATTGACCTGGCATTGAGCCAGGAAGTCTGGCAACCTGTTACTGAGATTGCTTTTGACTGGATGGTGATCCAGACGACTTATAAGCTATATCCAATAGGACAGAAAATGTTCCCCACTCACTCTAGAAAGGTTGCCCTTCACCTTGGTCAGAATTGCAGGATTACCACAGACACATAAACCCTTCAAATGGATAGCTGGAATTAGATCCCAAGCACTTCCAGGCTTTCTTAAGTTCAGCATATTGGTCTCTGTCTCCACTACCCCTCCACTTGCTAACTGGACTGTTTGAATATGTCTGTGACTTGACATCCACCTTGGATAGACAGTGTACCTGAACTGGAATAAAATGAAAATGTAAGTCAGTACAGGCAGTAACAATGGTGGAAGCAAAATGCTTAGGCCCTAGCTATGCTAAAGCTTTTAACCTTTATATTGCCAAGAGAGTTATAACCAACACTGCTTGTAAAAGCTTACAATCTCTGCTTTCAATGGTATAAAGCATTAAACTTGCATACAATGTATATGCAGATATCAATCTCTACAGTAGTTTGGTTATAGAAATTTATCGGCTCAAAGCTGAAACCCAAGACTGTAAGCTTGAGTGGCTTACTAGGTACAGAGCAAGGATCATTATAGGCTGTCAAATACAACAAGCTGGTTAGCTGCAGACTTAGCATCTTAGGGTATGTCTGCAGTGTGGTCTTCTACCTTTTTAAGCACAAGATCACTTTTTGAATGTAAGTGCAATCCAAGATCTACCTCAAACCCAAATACCCTTGCCCCACCTCCTTTGTGCTCCTTCTCCAAGGCTCCCACCCCTGCTCACTCTATACTCTCTCCCTCCACCTCCCTCACTTTCACCAGGTGGGGGCAGAGGGTTGAGGTGCAGGCTCCGGTCTTGGATTAAGGGATCTGGAGTGTGAGATGGGCTCTGAGCTGAACCTGGGGCAGGCAGTTAGCGTGCCTGAGGGGGTTCTAGGTGCAGACTCTGGGATGGCGTTTGGATGTAGGGGTACTCAAGGCAACGGCAGGGGCTTGGGGTGCAAGAGGGGCTTCATGACTGGGGTAGGGTTTCAGGATGTGGGTACCAGCTGGGCACTGTTTTCCTCAGGTGGCTCCTGGGTGGTGATGCAGTAGGGTTAAGGCAGGCTCACCCTGCATTGGCACTGCACCACTCCCAAAAGCAGCCCACAAACTCGCTCCATCCCATGTGCATTAAAATAAAATGTGGCAAAATCAAGCACCTAAATTAGTCTATAAAGTCAGAAGCTTGATTTCTCCTGTTAACTTTAACAGGAGAAATCAGCACACTGGATGGCTACATCTAGACAGGCATGATTTTCCGCAAATGTTTTTAACGGAAAAGTTTTTCCATGAATAGCATTTGCAGAAAAGAGCGTCTAGATTGGCACGGACACTTTTCCACAAAAAGTGCTTTTGCGGAAAAGCATCCGTGCCAATCTAGATGTTCTGTTCCAAAAATGCTTTTAACGGAAAACTTTTCCGTTAAAAGCATTTCTGGAAAATCATGCCAATCTAGACGCAGCCTCACAGAAACATAGCTATAGGGCCTGTACGTGATAATACTCAAGTTGCTCGACACTATAGCATTTTCAAGGCAAATTTAAGAATGCCTGAGAATTGGCCACTGTTTTTGGTTCAATGGTGCAAGTGCATTTGGTGTGTCCTAATTGTAACCTTACCTGGTGACTTCCATACTTGAAGATTTAGGAACTATTGGGTGAGTGAACAAGGAGCAATGGGCCTAAATTGCAGCAAGGGAGGTTTAGGTTGGACATTAACTATTCTAACAGTAAGTTTTTCCTAATCTTTGGAATAAATTGCCTAGGGAGGCTGTGGAATCTCCATCACTGGAGATCTTTAAGAGCAAGTTAAACACCTGTGGGCTAGATGGTGGCTGGTGTTGCAATGAGTGCAAGGTACACGAGGACCTTTCTAGGTCCATTCCAGTGCTATGATTAGGCATGGCTACAAGGACTTATTCAGGAATCTCCTTGCTTTCTGTCAATCTGATTTGCTGCATGAGAGGAAAAACTCTGAGAGTACTGTCTTGTATAGAGAAGGTGTGAGCACTGGGTGTGCACAAATCCTCCCTCCTCCAGCACTGTTGAGCGTTTTACTACCAAGGGCACCTTCCAACCCTGCTTCCTCGGGCGCTGCCGGCTCTATCTCGGACACCTAGTTACTTAGCTCCTGCGGCTCCGCTACCAAGTAGCAGGCCCGGCTCTGGCACCCTTGCAGCACGCTGCAGGCAGAGAGCGCCCCCCGCCTCACTCAGCCCGCATGAGCGGGATGGAGAGAGAAGGTGGAGGCGTCTCTGTAGCGTCCAAACTCTGCTGGAGCGCGAGGCGCCCCAACCCCCGCGCGTGCCCTGCCCCCCAGGCCCACAACGGAGAGAGCTGCTGGCCAGACGCTGCCTTTTGTCCACGCGCCAGTCCAGGGGAAGGGAGACGCAGTGCGCTCAGCCACCTCCCCCGTGTCACTCTCCCCGCCTCGCGCTCACCCTCCCCCCCGCCACGCCCCCTTGGCCGGGCGCCGAGCCGGTTGTATTTCTCCAGACTCTTGTTGTTGTTCAGAATGTCTGCAGCCGCCTGGGAGGCGGGGCTACGGGCCGGAGCGGCCAATCAGGAGGCGCCTGCGTGTCAGTTACATTATAAGTGGCCGCAAGGGCGAGTGTGAATCGGAGAAGCGGCGGCGCGAGGCTGAGCCCGGGCGCGAGCGGGCAGCGCCATGGAGCTAACGGCCCCTCCGCGGCCAGGCTGGGTCTTTCTCTCGCTGGCGGCCGCGGCGCTGCTGCTCCCGGGGGCGGCGGGTGAGTAGCGGCCCCGGGGGCGGGGAGGCGGCTCCGCGGGGCCCCGCCGGCTCCTTTCAACAACATGGCGCAGGGGCCGGCCGGGCGGAGCCCGCGTCCCTTTGTTGGCCGAGTCCGGCGGCTCCGGGTGCGCGCGGAGCAAAGGCGCCGAGGCTGAGGAACAGCGGCCGGGCGGCGGCTGCCGGACCCCCCCCCCCTCCTCGCGCCCGGAACAGGGGGTGGAGCGGGGAGCGCAGCGGGTCCGGGAGCGAGGTGAAAAAGGCACCGAGCGCGCCCGCCCCCTTCCGGCGGTGGCACCCGCTGTCTGCGCCCCTGGTCCCGGGGCAGCACCACGAGCTCTGCGCCGCGCGTGGCCCTCGCCTCCGATCGTGTCCCAGCGCCGCCGCGCACGGCCGGCTGCCCCCAGCCGCTGGGGTCTGGTCGGACCCGGTTTTCTTCTTCTGCAGCCGGCGGGGCTGTGAGCGCGCTGGAAGTCGCCTGGCGCTAGCCGCTCTCGCGTTCCTCGTTCCCGCTAGTGATCTGGGGCTTGCGTGGCTGGACAGACCCTTTAACCCTGATACACAGAGACTTGAGCCAGTCCGGATAAAATGTCGTTCCTTAAAACTTCCGCTTCCAGTCCCAGGTGCCCGGTATTCGTAACCGAAATGGGGGAAATCCCAATATGTGCTGCAGGCTTATGGTCACAATGTAACTGTTTCAGTGTTCTTTACAAATGTAAGGGTGGTGGTGGTGGAGGGGAGAGAACTACATGTTGAATGTTCCAATTAGGTAAAGCGCAAAAAACCCCAAAACAAATCCCCCCCCCCCCCAAAAAAACCACTTTTTTTTTTTCTTGAGTCTCCTGAAGTAAGAAGCCACTCACTCTAGTTGAGTTGGGCGCCAACTTGCAATATGCTGGTATTATGTACTCTGTGATTAAAAACTGGCCTGGATGATTGCTTAGATTAAATGCTGTTTAGGTTGTAAATCTGCATTGTATTTAAGCACCTTATTGTTATACCCACTAGTATACAAAATACACATTTATAAATAAGGGCAGCATATTAGAATGTTGAGTTAGTTCTTTCTACCCCAGCAAAATCCTGCAGTTAATCTGATGTCAAAACATATAGGTTGAAGTGTGTTGCGGGAGTTGTTTGTGACTTTGGGCAACTAAGAACAGTAACAAACTGTACCTTCAGTTCTCCAAATAACGCAGGATATGTTTGGTGGTAGGACTTAGTAATATGTCCTAATACATTAATAAAGGAGATGAGCTTTTGTGAGTAAAAATCCACTTCATCAGACGAGTTGGAATACTGTAAATTCCACTTAAATGGGATTTTTACCCACAAAAGCTCATAACCTAATAAATTTGTTGATCTCTTTGGTGCCAGAGGACTGCTCATCCTTTATTAATGTTAAACCAAACATCTATAAACCTGCTTAGTTACATAATCTTTGGGTACGCACATCTGTAATGCATCAAATTATCATAAACACAGAGGAATATTATTGTGTATGTTATTGCTTACTCTTTTGCCCAAAAGATAAAGCAAAATAAATACAGAATGTATGCAATATTAGAAGTAACTTTTGTTTCAATTTAAGAAATAAGTGTAACTTGGGAAACTGCAATACTTTTCTCTTGCAGTCAGTGTTAGATGATATGTGACTTTGAGACCTGGTATAGATAAAGGTTTTTTTTTTTTTTTGGAGGGGGATGGGTTAAGATGAGGCAGAATACATACATTCATATTTAATACATCTCTGATCTCTCATTAGAGAATCTTGGTAATCCGATAAATATTTGCTTAGTGAGGAGGGGAGAGACATCCTTTGCATGGGGAAGCAGAATAAGATTGTCTGAAATTTTCAAATTATTTTAAAACTTTTCAAGACACCTTGCTATTTCCTTCTTAAAGGAAATCAGAAACTTTTAACAGAACTAAAGGTGTCTCTTTAAAGTTTAACTTTCTTCTACTTCACAAAAACGCAGAGGAAAACAACAGTTTTACACGTGAGCTACCTCGTTAAAATAATGCAATATGAGGCATTGTTTTCTCTGGTACAAACGCTGTCTTGGGAATAGTTAAGTGTGAACTGTGAAGTTGGATGACCCATTTCTTGGCATCTATACTACAGAAACAATGTTTCTTTCTCTTAAGTTGGAACCCTCTGAGTGTCTTAATTTTAAATTTTATCAAATTATAGTAATAGCTCATAAACCAATTCAGTACTGTCTCAATTCTGTATTGCTTCTTTAGGGAAAATGCATTTTCAGTGGAAGTTTGCCAGAGAAAGGAGTATAAAATGTCCCATTCTGAAAGTTGTCCTATATATGATATACCTAGGATTGTCAATTTAGTCATTTTATGACATTGAGTAAGTAATTTTTTGTAATTTATAAATACCTTTATTGCAGAATGGAGTGTGGTGCATCTTGGAGCTGTGCAAAAATCTAGTCGGGCACTGCTTTGTGTCTGAGCCCTCCTGTGGTATCCAACTTCCTTTTGTGCCTTTTTCCAACTGCCATTCTTTGCTGTACACCAGTGTTCCTGGTAAGCTGAGTGCTTGTGTGGCCACTCAGGAGAGAGATGAATACCATCAAGTTGATTAGTGGAGTGCCCGTAGCTAGGTGTTTTTCTACTGGTGGTGCATATTTGCATATGCTTCAGCGCACATAAACATTTATTCTGCACATAGATGCAGAAGCTTAGAGGGAACACTGGTGCACTCCAGCATCTGCAGAGAGACAGATTGGATCCCTCATTTTTCTCTTAAGTTCTATCAAGTTTGTGATGACATCATGCATGGCAATGCAGTTAATCGTGAAGTTACTGGCCGAGGAAGATTCATAGTCATCTGCCATTCTTTGTGATATGAACAGCAGCAACTGAGCACTGCTTCTAGAAATTGTGGAGCAATTGCATAGGGTAGACTTGCTTTTGGGCTAGAGAAACCAGCACTTATTGGTGGGTTCACATTGTCATGCATGTGTGAGATGAAGAGCTATAGAATTTTAGGATGCATAAAATAACCTTCCCAGAGCTGTATGCTGAGCTGGTCTCTTAATTGTGGCACAATCTCACCAGAGTGAGAGTTGCCTTCTCAGTAAAGAAACGTGGCAGTTGCTTTCTGGAAGCTGGTGATTCCAGACTGCTACCAGTCAGTTGCAAATCAATTTGGAGTGGGGAAGTCTGCCGTTGTGCTGTTACTGCGAGTGTACAGGGCAATAAATCACATTCTACTACGGATGACCATGATTCTGGGAAATGTGCATGAAATAATGGCTGGCTTTGCAAAGGAGTGCTTCTGGAATTGTGGCAGAGTGATAGATGGCACATGCTTCAACGTTAATGTCCAATTTTGCAAAAGACTACATCAGTAGGATTGGGAACGTCATGGTGTTGCAGGTGTTTGTGGATCACCCAGGCTTTTCATAGACCAAGTGGGGTGGTCTCAAAAGAGGCATGATGTGTGCATTTTCAGGAACTCGGTCCTCGCTTGCAGCTTCCTGAACAGGACACTTTTCCCGGACAAGATTATAGTGGGTGTGTGGAAATGCCTGGGAGACCTGACTTATCCCTCTCCTCCCTGACACAGGGCACCTGGACAATAGTAATGAGTGTTTTTAACAGGCTGAGCATGTGCCATGTGGTAGTCAAACATGCCTTTGGCAGTTAGATGCCTCCACCATGACTTCAGTGACAGGCTAGACCTTCTTGGGGAATAATATTCCCATGGTCCTAGCCATGTGTTACACTTTGAATAACCTGTGTCAATCTAAGGGTGAAATGTCTGCTCAGGAGTGAAGTGTCTGCTAAGGCAGAGCGCTTAGCTGCAGAGTTTGAGCAGTCAGAGATTAGAATATCAGAGGGCTACTGTTACATCCCTACCTCAAAGCCTCCTTGATGTTAAGCAACTAGTCAACTTCCTGATAAGCCCTAGGCTACATTTAAACTGCAGAGCTGCAGTGGGGTCCCTTAATGACTAATCATGTAGTGGATATAAATTGTATCTACTGCAAGATTAGTCAATTACCTGCTTAACATCCTTATTTTGGGGAAGCATTTTGACAATGAGGGGCACTAACATATGTTTTGAAATTGCTTTCCTCATACATCCATGCAAAAATTTCGGCCTACCTGTCCTTGCAAGAAAATGCTTTAAAAGTCTGTACCTTGGACCAGTGATTGCTGTGTGAATTTGTGGAATGCAAAATAAACACTGTACTGTTACAAAACTTTGCCTTTATTGATCAAGAAAATACAGTGAAACACTCCGTTGCTGGTAAGGAGAGGCTTGGAAAAGGTAAAGCGTCACAACTGTGTGTAGGTCTAGCTATCACTGCCAGTGTTGAGAGAATGGGAAACTGAGGAGTCCCACAAAGTCAAAAGGTTGCTTGACAAGAAATTGTGCATGTGCAGCAGTGGAGGAAGACCCTCTCACTCTAAAACATTATTGATGACTTGAGCATCTGTCTGCTCCTCCATTACTTTTATTGTCTGAATTGTCTCCCTAACAAATGCTTGATTGTTTTTGTTTTTTTAGATTCCCAGCATTCCTTCATTCCCTTTCCTCTATAGCACTGTAGCACCTCCTTCAACATATTTTCTTTGTATCTTAGCCTCTTATCTACCAGAGACTTTAGCCTGGGGTGTGTATGTACCTCAAGGTCCTGGCTGCCATGGACAATGCACAAAGAGGGATTGTTCAAGTCCAGCACATAGTTGAAACATTTTGCTTACAAGCATCCTTTGCAACATAACCCATTGCTTTCTCAATGACTCTTATCAGGCACATCTCTGCAAGCACCTGAAGTATGGTGAGGCTTTTTCATTTGCAGGTGCAGAGGTGGGTGCATACAGACAAGAGAAATGGTCTTTTAGGGAACTCATAACACTTCTTTCTCTCCCCTCCCCCACTGCCAAGCATCGTTCTGGCAGACACCTCCTTGCTGAGTGTAAGCAAGAAAACCAGGGTACAACTACTCCATGCTTTCATTCTGCACCATAAGC